ACAGAACATTATGTAAGCCATTTTAAAAGAGTTTTTAATATAATATGTACTAAATATTTTGACATGTAAATTATATTTGAGATACACTTCCATCGAAAAGCTGTCAATGAAACTTTAAATTGCATCCAAATAGTGTACATATATACCCAGTGCACGCTTTTTTACTGTAGAACAGAATGACCCACACGTAGGCTTTAATGTTATGGATAGACGTAGAAGCTACAATTTGTCTTCCTTTGTTCTACTGTTTTTCATAGCTAAATCTATACTTAATATTATTAAGAGGAAAGAATTGTACCTATTTATGTATGTATGTAATGAATAGGCACAAAAAGAACTGGGCCGATATAAAAAAATTCTTTCACCAATAGAATGCTCATTCTTCCAATTTGACATAGGCTACATTTCAATTTGAAAAAATTAGGGATCTTTGGTAAAATTTGAACAATGTAACCGAAGGTGTAGAAAAATGAGTCTTAAAATGTCTTTCGTCGAATGCGATAGAACAAAATAATGTACAACAATATTGAAGAACATCATAATGTCTACAAAAAACTCCGCGGTAGCGTATGTCCAACTATTGTAGTTATGTCACTACAACAATTCACATTTCCAAAAATAAATAATTGTCTACCCCGTGCGAAGCCGGGACGGGCTGCTAGTGTTATATATAGAAGTAGAAGCTACAATTTTTCTTCCGTTGTTCAACTGTTTTTCATCGCTAAATGTGTAATAAAACAAATTACGTATATTTGTCCAAGTTTTATTATAAATAAATACTATAGATGCTACAATACAAATTATATTACTCACAAAATTATCGTCCAGTAAAGAAACATAAAATTATAGTAAAAATATCTAAATAACACACATATCGTCAATTCTTTGGCGAACTTTAAAAGGAATTTTATTTAAAACCAAATCTGAAAAGACTTAGGCAAAAAATTATACTTATGTTTAGTTTATTATTTACAAAGGTACCAAAAATATTAATTATGGCACAATTTTTATTTATAGAGAAGCCTCATAATCTACATACATCGAAGAAATTAGAGAAACGAAAAATACCATAACATGCGTCACGTGTGGATTCCTTTCTCCATTTGTCGGAATTCCCCACATCTTTATAGTCCTCTATTTTTGCCGGTGTATGTATTTCACATTTCACCCTATTTTATATAGCTAAGTACGAAAATGCAACTTTAGTAAATGCAGTCTGGAAGTATCAATACATAGTATAAAACAAAGTCGCTTTCGCTGTATGTCCGTATGTATGCTTAAATCTTTAAAACTACGCAACGGATTTTGATGCGGTTTTTTTTAATAGATAGAGTGATTCTTAAGGAAGGTTTGTATGTATAATAAATGCATAATATAGTAGAGAAACACTGATAAATTTAAAGGTTTCTAATGTGATGTCGTAAATAAGCACGTTTTTTTGCGCTTATATTGCAAACGCTGGCTGAACCCTACGAGATAGACCAAAATAATATACTACAGTATTGTTCACCTTAAAAAGTTCAACAAAAAAGTCCGCGATGGTATATGTCTATCTCTTAGGGATAACCCAGCATAACCATTTTTATTCTTTACTAAAAAATGGTTATTTACGAAGTGATTTTAAACAATACAGCATTAATCCTTATCCAATTAAGTACCTTAAATAAATTGTGCATTTATTATAGATCAATATGCTTTTTAAAGCATGTAATTTAAGTGAATATTACCGAAGATATTACAAATTTAAAATGCAGGGTCGTAGTTGTTTGCGCCGGGCGGCGCGTGCCTATAAATAGCGCTTCGATGGCCGCGCTTCGCCTTATAGTACTTTATGATTTGCAGCGATCGCACGCGTTTATCGGAGCTCTCTAGCGAGGAGAATATCAAGAATTAATTAAACTGAATAGAATAAGTATCTTTTGTTGTTGATTATCTTTTAATTTTTATTATTATTATTATATTAATAGTATTGAAAGTACAATCAATACATAGTATAAAACAAAGTCGCTTTCGCTGTATGTCCGTATGTATGCTTAGATCTTTAAAACTACGCAACGGATTTTGATGCGGTTTTTTTTAATAGATAGAGTGATTCTTAAGGAAGGTTTGTATGTATAATAAATGCATAATATAGTAGAGAAACACTGATAAATTTAAAGGTTTCTAATGTGATGTCGTAAATAAGCACGTTTTTTTGCGCTTATATTGCAAACGCTGGCTGAACCCTACGAGATAGACCAAAATAATATACTACAGTATTGTTCACCTTAAAAAGTTCAACAAAAAAGTCCGCGATGGTATATGTCTATCTCTTAGGGATAACCCAGCATAACCATTTTTATTCTTTACTAAAAAATGGTTATTTACGAAGTGATTTTAAACAATACAGCATTAATCCTTATCCAATTAAGTACCTTAAATAAATTGTGCATTTATTATAGATCAATATGCTTTTTAAAGCATGTAATTTAAGTGAATATTACCGAAGATATTACAAATTTAAAATGCAGGGTCGTAGTTGTTTGCGCCGGGCGGCGCGTGCCTATAAATACCTAGCGCTTCGATGGCCGCGCTTCGCCTTATAGTACTTTATGATTTGCAGCGATCGCACGCGTTTATCGGAGCTCTCTAGCGAGGAGAATATCAAGAATTAATTAAACTGAATAGAATAAGTATCTTTTGTTGTTGATTATCTTTTAATTTTTATTATTATTATTATATTAATAGTATTGAAAGTACATTAGGTTAGATAGGATTACCTTAAAACCATATTTCTTGGAAGCCCCGAATTCCTCTGATACCATCAGATTTACCGTTCTAATTTAAACGCCTACAATTTCCGGTAAAGATATCTTTTGCAATGACCATTAATAAATCGCAGGGTCAAACTTTTAACGTTGCAGGATTAGACTTGAGTGTTGAGTGTTTTTCACATGGCCAATTACATGTCGCGCTGTCAAGAGTAACGTCTAAGCAAAACATGTTTGTATTGGCTAATGACAAAAAAGCTGTGAACGTTGTGTATAAGGACATTCTGTAGTAGGTATATTTTGCATTGCACCCGTGCGAAGCCGGGGCGGGTCGCTAGTATAAAATAAAACATAATTATGAAGACGATGAACATTTAAACATTTCGGAAACGCGAATAATAAGTTACCTATAATGTATTTTCTTTTAAAAATACTGCATTTCTGGCAATGAGAAAATCAGAAAGCATTATTAGGAAATGACGTCCGGAATCCTTAATATTATATTACATGTATTTTACTTTATTACTAGGTAATAAGGCACTGTTCGTACACAATAAATATGCATTGACGGTAAAAGTATTTCTGTATAGTTATTGAATTATTCAGATTGTTGATAATGCAAACTTAGGACTTAGAACAAATTGTCTTATTACTTGTCTTTTCTTTACAATTCGGTATTTACTTTTCTTAGTATCATTTATTTGTGTGTAAGTGCATTGAAGGGTCGGTATGTATATGTCAGGTGCCTATCATTGATTTTGGGGCCTTTGTTGTTTCTTATCATGGCAATGATCCTACTCTTAGAGAAAGTCCAAAAAGATTTGCGTAGAAACTTGTACAAGCAACTGTACGGGTACTATCCTTACCTCTATCCGACAAAATTTTTTAGTTAGTCTTGGTTACAACTCACTAAAGGTAAGGAGGCCAAGAAACCAACTAGCAGTAGCCTGTAAAACGTTCCGTGGCGGTATTGATGCTTCAGATCTACTGGAGTCATTATCGCGCTTTTACGTGCCAGATAATTACTGCCGAGGTGAAAAGCATTGGCTGTTTGCCGTGCCCTCGTGTCGTACTGTCGCACGCGCTAAATCACCTATTCCTTGCAGTCTGGCCGCGCTCTATTATCTCCTGGATTCCAATCCAAGTACTGATCTATTTGCGGTCGGATGGAAGGATATTTTATCAGAATGCCTGAAGTACTGCGAGAGAAACTTATGAATGTTGTAAATTCCTGTTTTAATTAAGTTTTACTTTTCTTTTTTCTATTAGTTATAATTGCATCTTTTATTGTTGTAGGTAATATGTCAGTTACTGTAATAGGGTTTCTACCGTTGTGACTGTTTAAAAATAAATAAATAAGTATTTCACCTCCTGAGTAAAAATCGATTATTTTTTTTAGTATAATATAGAATACACGTTGCTGCATAGTTAAAATACTTAAAACCCCCTTCACTAATTAATCTTATGCATATCGTATCGTAAGTGTATCGTTATAATATTGAACTATCGTTAGGATATTACTATTTCACTCATTCAGAAAAAGATACTGGAACAATATTGTATGTACGTCCTACTTGTTTTTTTGTTCTCTCTATTGCAATTTGCTTACGATACGACGGGGTGAACAAAAGGCCATATAAGGCGGGAACAGACCCTTTTTTCAGTATATTTTCAAATTTTAACTAGATATGGGTACCAAATCTATGAACTCGTTTTTTCTACATGTATCTGGCTTGTTTTATCATGTCACAGTTTATCTAAAGCTGGCAACTCTACTGGGTCCTTCAGTGGGTTCTAAGACGATCCTCTTGAAACAGCCCTCTGGCAGCTGGTCCAGAATCTCCTTGATATTGTCTACTTCAAGACGAAGATGGCTGTGCTCATCCTCGTATTGTTTCATCCACCTGTTCAATTGTAAATTTATTAATAATAGTTTATTTTCGAAAAAAAATAATAATAATTTGAATAACATAACATCACGCCATTTATACCCGAAGGGGTAGGCAGAGATGCATTTTATGCCACTGTACAATGTCACACCCACATTTCACTATTTATGATATGAGTATCATGTAATAGGGAGTGAGCCTATTGCCATATACCGGGCACAATTCCAGACTCCGTGCTACAACTGAGTTTTTTTTTAAAAACCCAGTAATACTTTGCCCGACCCGGGAATCGAACCCAAGACCCCTTGCCCGGCAGTCGCACTTGCGACCACTCGGCCAACGAGGCAGTCAAAAGAATTAAGAACATTAAACAAAATTGTCACTATATTATAAAAAATGTCTACACTTCTTTAGGATTTTGTTTACTCATAAACCTATACGTTTCATTGTGGTAGATCAACGTACCTTTGGTGGTTATTCTTGGCTTCAGTGAGGCTCTTAATCTTGCCATCCAAATCAACCGCTATGAGGTCACTCTCTGCCTTGTCTAAGCTCTCCTCTGTAAACATTAAGATAGATTATTGCACTCTCTCTAAAAAGTACCTAAATAATCACCGAATTGTATCTCGTTGGTTTGTACCAAGAGTTGAAAACAATCTGTACTTACGTAGTCGGTCTAGTGCCTGGTCATCTAATGTGGGCAAGTTTTGCAACTCATCCATGATGACCTTCAAATCCTCGAGGCCTTTAGTCACTTGTTTCTCCGCCTCCCTGGCATCAGTATTCGCTTGGCCAACCTAAAGTCAAAATCAATTTGAGTAAATATAGAAAAGCGTTTATATTTAAAATGTTCGCCCCATATTAGTATCTTCTCCTGTGTCGAGGGTGCAAACTTATAATTTATAGCATCCAGAGAGGGAGCAACAATTTGAGGACCGGACAAAGAACTGTTCATTAAAAAAATTGGCTATAGATAGATTACTAAAGCGAATGTCTGACTGTCAGAGTTACTGCAATGTAGTGTTAAACCAATACAAATTAAAACAACAATGAATCGTGAAGCAACATTTGTATTTAAGTCACTGTTACCCGCTAACTTGCATGCGATTAGTTATTGTATGTACTCATGTGTTTGAGCAAATAAATATGATGTGATTTGATCTGATTTAGGTCAACTCTGCATCTGCCATTACTAGAGCACTCCACATTTCTTTTAAAACAGTATTCTAGTTGAATCAAGTAAGTACTTAAGTGTGGGAGAGCCATGCTTCGGCACGAATGGGCAGGCTCGACCGGAGTGATACCACGGCCTCACAGAAAACCGACGTGAAGCAACGCTTGCGTTGTGTTTCGTCGTGTGAGTGAGGTTACCGGAGGCCCAATTACCCTCCCCTTCCCCAATCTCCCCAGTACCTGAATCCCCAACGATCCTCAAACTCGTAATCCCAAATGGCTGGTAACGCACTTGTAACGCCTCTGGTGTTCTCGTGTTCCAGATGTCCATGGGCGACGCTGATTGCTTTCCATCAGGTGATCCGTCTGTTCGTTTACGGGCTTATACCATAAAAAAAGATATTAAAATAAAAAAAATTGATACCTTCATTTTAGCATCTCTTGTAAGCTGCATGTTCTCTGCAGCCTCTTTCTCCAAATTGCCAATCTGTGTTGCTGTTTCTTGCACTCGAGCTGTTCAAAGATATTATTAATTTAATTATGTAAACCAGCACAGACTTGGAACTTGGATGCAATGCATTATCTACTAGAAAAATCTTGGACGCTGGTGCTAAAGAATTAAGGACTAAAAAGATAAGCTAAGGGACTGTTGTAAAGCGTGTCTCCAATAAACCTAATCCTTTTAAATTGTGATCTCCGATCTGCCTGTCACGGAAAACCCCCTTTTTGTGTAGAACTCTTGAGGGTTGTTCTACAGTACTGTTAAATACTAACTGTAAGACATAAGGAGCTTTTCTAACACTGTATTCCCTGGTCTCTTCATTATATATTCTTGATTTCTCTTGATCTAAAATTCAACTTAAAATGCACACAGAAGCCGATTACCCAGCCACTGGGCTAACTGAGCATTGAATGGAATAGAAAATAAATTCTGATTCTGACTTACTGGATAGTTTCTCGGCTTCAAATCTGAGTTTGGACGCCTCCGACCTAGACGCTGAGGATTTCTTCCTAACTTCAAAGGCTGCCTGAAAATTAAAAGATTATGTTTAAGTAGATAAAGTACATTTTCATAATCGCAATATTCGTTCATCATTAAACGGACTAATCGTATCCGTTTGTTTGATACCCCTTCAACGTGTCTATTACTATTTGGATATAGATAGTCAAAACTCTCATTATCCCAAAGTAAACATACATCTGACGCCTTATCAGCATATTCCTTCTGCGCCTTCTGTGCTAAGTCTCGCGCCTCCTTCGCCTTGTCACTGGCAGTATACAGTTGCTCTGTGATGCTATTGATGCTGTCATCTGCAGCTGCTATCTTCGCTTGCACCGCAGGCACGTCCAGGGCTGCTTGTTCGGCTAACTGACGCGACTCTGTCACTTGGTCGCTGAATTCTGCAAGATTAAATTAAGTGACGTCATTGGACTTTATATTCCCCTTATTGACAATAGCTTTCTTTACAACTGTATACTTGTTAGATCACCAGATTAAGATAAAGGATCAAAACAGAATCAAGAACATAATAATTCCAGGTCTGTGCTCAACACATATTGGTCAGATCGCAGAACTAATTTGAGATGACCGCATTGTAACAATCGTTGCATTTGAGATTAATAAACAACCAATTATACCAGAACCAGTATTTTATAGTCTTGACAGATTGAAGCGAGCTGCTTAATCACCAGATCTCTGGATAAACCAATTTGGCCCCCAAGTCTAAAAACTGCATTTTCAACCGTACCTTTTAAAGTTTTGTAGATTTCATTGGCATCCTTCAGCGTCTGATTGGTGAGTTCCACGTCATTTCTAGCCTGTTCCTGCAGCTCATCGAGTTTCCCCAGAAGGTCATTCAGCTCGTCCTGTCTATCATGACCCTGGTCTAAGAGACCACGACCTTGCTTTATTGCAGTCTCTAGCTGCTCCAACGTGTTTTCATTGTCAGCCACCAAACGTTCCAACTCAGCCGATTTCTCATCGATCTAAAATTATGGAAGCAGAAAGTTTAAGAGACATTTAGGATAAGTTTAGGATAAGTATACATATTTTGGTGTATAAATAAAATGAAACATAATATTGAAATTTGTTTTAATAAGAAGTATCGTGGTGTTCCTTTAATAATGTTAGTTTTAAATAGTGAACGCAAGCACCAAGAAATGATTTTCAATAATTGGAATTAGAACGGAGAGCCACGATAATTTTATGAGCAATCATGTTTAAGCTAGTCTTCCATCGAAGTTTGAGGTTAAGCTACTATACATATATCAAAAATCTTATACTATTTGGAACATATAATAAAGGTTCTTACCGTCTTATTCATTTCCCTGGCTGTTTCCTTCAGTTTACTGAGTTTGATATCTGGTAGCAGTGTCGTGTTCACCTCAGCATACAACCCCAGAGCTTCATCATACACATCCTTTGCTCTCTTAAGTGCTTGGTCAGCTAATTCAGTCATACTGTTCAACTTTCCTGACGCTGCATTCAGCTCATTTGTCAGGATTTGTACTTCGTTACTGTAATTGAAAGAGTATCATAGCTATTACACGAATTTTTGAACGACAGACAATGTGTGTTCAGACATGTTATTTTTATGTTAGTACTTGTGGTGTTATTATAGGTACATATGTTCCAGTAATGTTATAGGGACTGCAATACCTTCTCACACATGTGATATATTGATAGGAATAGTGAAATTTTGATCGAATCATATTCATTTTAAAGGGTGATACGAACGTTCTCCGAGTAAGAAATATTTAATCAGAGATTAGTCAGCAACTATTTACAATGTCGGCCAATCTATCAGTCCCGTATCTTCAAATCAGTCAAGTTCTCCAAATGCATGTTGTTTACTCTCTTACCTAATGTTAGCCTGTTTTGTAATTCCATCCTTAGCAATCTTATTAGCGGCAATAGAAGTGTTGAATGCTTTGTCAGCTATTTCTCTAATGTTCTTCGCTTCATTCTCCAGTTTTTCTGCCAGAAGCCTGGATTCTTTGGCCAGAGCTGACATGTCGACTGATTGTTTGCCGAATTGGTCCGATCTGTTGCGAGCCTTTGATAAAGCTGCAGCTCCTTCGCCGTCCATGTACTCCAAGGCACTCTTGGTGGACAAAATATAAGTGTTAGAAAGTAGAAAGTATCTAGAATCTAAGTTTCCAGTCAAGTAGCCACTTTAAACTTAAAATCATACCACATGATCTATATTTCCTTTAAAATATTGTGTAGTTATTATGTTCTATCTGTTAGCACATAGCAAATGAAAGTATTGTGCAAAATGCATTTTAATACTAGCGTCACCAAGAAACTAGGCCAACAGAATAAGTGGTGTTAGCTTGAGAAAGCATATAAACAAAAATGTCTTACATTAATTTCCTTCTGTGCAGCTTCAATAGTATCTTCTGCTTTGGACACGTTACCCTTGCTCTTCTCGACAGCTTCGTTACCGTCATAGCTCTCGTCTTCAATTTTGAACAGCATGTTCCTGTGGAAAGACGAAAAAGTACTAGCTTCATAATTATCAGGCATAAGACGTCCATTGCAAGACATTAACGTCGTCCATTAACTCTCAAATGTTTACGTTAAGATGTGTCACCTAAATTCGATTCTAAGTCAGAACTTGTCAGAGCCGTAACTAATGAAATAATGCAATGGTTTATAAGATATTGTGGTCACATGGTTACTAGAGCAATTAGTATTATCACGAGTAAATTGTAACTGCCTTCATAGATCCAATAGTACCTACGTTTTTACTTTATTAATTTACTTTAACCAAATTTGACTGCACGATTGGTGCGGTGGCTGGGCAACCGGCTGCCGTGCAATGTGCCGCGGGTTCGATTCCCGCACGGAGCAACACTTTGTGTGATCTACAAATTGTTGTTTCGGGTCTGGGTGTCATGTGTATGTGAACTTGAATGTTTGTAAACGCACCCACGACACAGGAGATAATCCTAGTGTGGGGCAACGTTTTTTATTAAAAAAAAAAAAGAAAAAAAAATGAATATTATATTATATTAATTAATATTAATACGATTATTAATCATGTCGCAAAGGTTTTACTTTCGGTTTCTAATTACCTGACGTCAGCGAGTCTATCAGCCAGTTCAGCGAGGTTGTTAGTAAGACTGGCTCCAGGTCCATTGCCCAACTCTGCCTGAGCGTCCTGCACCAGTCGCTCAATGTCACCCCTTACTTGTTGCAGCTCATTGTCGAAGTCAGCATTCTCAACTACCGTTGGAGACTTGGATATCTTCGCTAGAATCTGTAAAGAAGATTTTGTTACTAAAGTATTTCAAATCTAGATAATAATAGTAATGCTTGACTAAGTTATATCAGTCAGGAGAGGAGAGGTACTCTCAAGGCGTTCAGAGGCCTTAGTGTCTGCGCGTGAACGCAGCCGAGGCGGGGCGCGCGGGGGAGGAGAGGCGCGAGCAGAAGCGGCACACGGCCACCATCTTGCATTTTTTTGGATGGTTCGCGGGCACAAGCTTACTGTTTAGTTCTTTTTAATATACCAGTTTTTAAATACAGTCTACTAATTTATTGAAGAGACCCATCCCCAACACTTGGTATGAGTTTCTATTAGTTTCTATTATAAACCGCGTTGGGCGCTCTGATTAGTTGGTTCGTTGGAGTAAAACTTACTCGTACTAAGGCCTTAGAATTGCCTATCTTATACCAGTATAAGCTCAAGACTTTGTTTATTGGAACGCGCTAATCTTTGAAACGACTGGTTCGATTTTCAAAATTATCTTTGTGTTGAATAATACATTTATCGGGAAAGGCTGTACGCTATGAAACATCAGGCTTCGACCAATAGGAGCCGAGCAGAACAAGTGAAAGTGCGCGGAAGTAGGTAGTATTATAATAAACAGAAATATTGTAACAAGAAAAAAGTATAAGGCAACATGTTCTCTTCGTTACTTCAATGACGACAAAATGATAATATGTCTGCCTGCCTCGTTGGCCAAATGGTCGCAAGTGCGACTGCCGGGCAAGGGGTCTCGGGTTCGATTGCCGAGTAGGGCAAAGTGTCTCGGGGTTTAAAAATAATCTCAGATGTAACACGGAGTCTGGAAATGTGCCCGGCATATGGCAATAGGCTCACTCCCTATTACATGGGACTCATAACATTAATAGTGAAAAGTGGGTGTTAGGTTACATCTGTTTGCACCTCTGCCTACCCCTTCGGTGATAAGAGGCGTTGTTATGTTACGTGATAATAAGTTATTACCATCTATGACAAAGTCAAAATCAAAGTATGTATTTATTTAAATTAATCCTAAGGCACTTTTAACGTAACAACGGAAACGTAACAAATTGAATTGTTCGGCCGTCTGTCTATCGGTCTAGCTAGGCACAGAAGTATGAATCCTATTCATATGATGCAGATGTAGTTCACAAAATTTCGTAAAACAATTCTCAATCTCAAAGGGACCTTTATAGTTCTACAAATGGTTCACATTAGTATATCTCCACAAACCGAAAACACACTTCAACTCTATGGCATAGTGTTTTTTTAAGGGGGGAAAATCATCGATTGACTGCTCCCGCCTGTGTGAGGTGGGAGGGAGTGTCAAACTCTTACTGACTAAAAACCACCCCGTTCCTTCTCATGCATGTCGAGCCGGAACCCCGGTAACCCGTTAGGATTTCCGCGACATGGCATAGTGTAGATGTAGATAGTTTGTCTACTCACATCATCAAGTTCCTTCAACTCCCTTCTATGTTGGTTCACGGCATCCAGCACGAGGTTGTAGCAAGGAGGACAGTCCTCGCAGCCTTGACCATCTGCGCGACGTTTCTTGTTTTCCATACATCTGGAATTTAGGCATCGATATTAAAATAATCATCCCGTGTTAGACGACAGTCCACTACATCATGAATGCAGAGTCCTACACAGAAATAAAAACCAAAGGTTCGGGTTATTCAGAGCGTACAGTTATATGGTATTTGTATGAATTAAAATGAATAGGCATGGCGACTTATTTTTTAATTTTTTGTCCGTCTTTTAGATATTTTAAAAATCTTCGATACGTATTTTTTCTTTTTTCTCGTATCCAAAAAAACATGTAGATATTTTGAGTTAAAATGACGCGTGACGTCACACTTAGGTACGATTTCTCCGTAAGTGTGACGTCAACACCCCCCACTCCCTAACTTTAATGCGGAATAACTACGTATTCTTCTGTTAATTTGATAAAACAAAAAATACGTGTCTGATATTTTCGTGCGATCTTAATGACGGACTAATTACTTTTTTGATTTTTTTACCCTGTCGACACGCCTATTGTAATATAATGCATTGTATTTTAAACTTATTTAGTAAAGTCTGTTAACATTTTTTTATAACAATATGGAAGCTCTCTTAACTTTGTTCCAAGGGAGATGCACATTCTTGGATATACGCCTTATTGTTTTACGTTTCTTCTTAACAGTGACTTGACATTCATAATCATTGCTTTGTCTCCTCTTCTTACCTGTCACACCGACGTCCTTCCACATTCTCCTGGCAGGAGCACTGTCCGGACATATCGCACTGGTAGTTGGTGGAGCCCCATTCGTCACAGTCGCAGTCTCGGCAACCCTCAGCTGAGAAGCCGTAGTGGTACGCACGACAACGATCGCAGTGTTTACTGGAACAAAACAAAAAAAAAAATGTTATCTCTAATCTTTCATTTATAATCATTGTTTTTCTCTTTAGTAGCTTTACTGTATCACAATTGAGAGAAGATACTGACAGCTAAGTCAGAAGATAAGGTTTTAGTAAAAATCTAGTTGGGATAGCTAGTTAGTTATTATAGATTTCGTAACTTTTAGATTACTTATTAGTATAAAAGATGTTGCCTGCGCTTTCGTCTGCGTAGAATAATGACTTCTGGCAGAATTTAGGCTTTTGAATTAGTCTTTACTAAGGGATATTCTACGGTAACAAATGAATATAATGTTAATACCATGTTTAACAGCTAATGTATCACGTTTAAAACTGAACTAATAGCTTTTTAAATCCATCTCTACCTACGTAACATAACATAACATCACGCCTTTTATCCCCGATCCCAGTCGCGACCATTCGACCAACGAGGCAGTCAACTACGTTTTATGTCTGATTAAAGGACAATTATTTAAATCTACATATTGTCATCTTCGAAAAGTGAGTTTATTTTTCTTTTCAATATATAAATGTGTCTTTCTCTGCACTTACCCATCAATACCCGGTTTGCAGTAACATTGTCCGTCGTAGGGGTCACAGGTGCTGTTGAACGAGCCCTCAAGGTTACACTCGCAGGGCTCACAGCCGGTGCCAGAGTTGATATTGTAGTAACCGTCCTGTTAAAAATTAACTTTAGTAGAAGAGAGTATAAGATAACTAAACTTATAAAGATACTTGTCCTTTAAACGGATTTTCAGATGACTTTAAGTGTGATTTAGAAGTATTTTGAACATGTCTCATAATGACGATTTCTTCGAAACTAAATGTGTTGTACTTAAAAATACATCTGTGTGTTTGCTGTCTCCACCAGCATAGAAATGTAGTTTATTCTTTAGTTCCACAAAGTACTTGATGTGGTATGATAAAGGAATCTTTCGTTTTAGTAACTTATTTTGAACATTACTCATCTAAGTTCACTAAAGCACAAAATTCGCTGTAAGATTCATTTGAGTTTTTGAACAACGATTTATCTATCGGCAGATTTGACTATCACTAGTATATTTTGCATGAATTATGTGACAACCCGATCAATTAGCCGACTGGTTCCTGGAAAGCAGAGCATGTGAAAAAGGTACTATGTTTGTTTAATTATTAGTTGCTACAAGTCATTTGAACTCACCTCACATTTATCACAATTCCTTCCAATTACGTGTGGGTGACAAGTACACAGTCCAGTGAGGCCGTCACATTGAGGAGGACCTTCAACACTCTCCACTGTACCAGCTTCGTGGCACTGGCAGGGCTTGCAGTCACCCTTCTTTTTAGGATCCAGAGCGTCTCCGAAGAAACCTTGAATGTTTAACGACTTGTTTGATAAAGTGTTTTATTTGAAAATATCTATGTTTTGGCGTTTACATCAAAATCTATCTAACTAGTTGCTTTTTCGTGAATGATCAAATGATCAAGTCATTATAAAAATTATATGTGCATTCATCCATACATCCATAGATCCTCAAAAACTTTCGCAATACTCCGACGCTTCCTTGAGACGTAGGTCAGTTAGATTAAGTCCATTCAAGTGTCTAATGCAAGGCGTATGTGCATCGTTAGGGAAGGATTTGTCTTAAAAACTATACTACCGACCACCACAGACTTAAAAAATTGTGAACATTTGTTAGACATTGAGTACAGGCTTGTTAGTTTTAAAGCAATCGTGCAAACCGGCTTAGCCTTGTATTACATTATCAAACATGATTGTTTATAGAAAATTATGTATAGAGGCGGGCTTACAGCGCATTTATTAATGTAATCAACGTCAAGGAAAAAGATATAACATAACATCACACATTTTATCTCCGAAGGGGTACGCAGAGGTGCACATTACGGCATTTAATGCCACTGTACAATGTAACACCCACTTTTCCTTATTTATGTTATAAGTCATGTAATAGGGGGTGAGCCTATTCATATACTGGGCACAGATCCAGACTTCCTTCTGCTGCCAAGTTTTTTTTAAAAACAGTAATACTTTGCCCTATTCCGGAAATGAACCCGAGACCCCTTGCCCGGCAGTTGCATTTGCGACCACACAGCCAACGGGCAGAAAAAAGATACATTATTGTCTATAATAATAGTTCATATCACTTACCACTCAAACACTTGTCACAGTGCTCGCCATCAGTATTGTAGATACATTTAAGACAGGCTCCAGTTGTCCTATTACAGTTACCGACTGCGTTGGGGTCTACATTGCCATTGCACTGGCACAGCTCACACTGTTTCGGGGGTCCAAATTGCCCAGTGGGGTCTCCGAAGTAACCATCAGCACAGACTTCGCATTTTGGTCCTGGAATAAGATTTTAGTATTGAGGGCCTTTGAATTCATGTCTTTAAGTGACTACATAAAAAACAGTTTGGACTAGGCCTTCATTGTATTGTAACATAGTATTCATTACTTACGACTTACTATAAATATAAGAATATCATAATAATCTTTTATGATATCAATATAGGTTCTGTTTCAAAACCTTTAGCATAGATACGTAACCACAAAACGTAAGATCACCCCTTTTACTCTCGAAGGGGTAGGCAGACGCATCTCTGCATGCATGTGGCAGGAATGCCTCTGCCTACCCCTTACTACACCTACGGCACTTAATGCCACGTACAATGTACAATGTAACACCCACTGTAATATGGTGCGGATGATACGGATGGAAAAGTATTTGTTATGGTAGATGATTTTTGTCTTAACTCTGAAATTCTGTTGAATCCGGAACAAAGCGCGAAATAAAGTGAAACTACCAAAGAATATTTTAGCTTTATTGCACTAAGTACCTTTGCACTATTAACTTAAGAATCATTTTCATTGACCACAAAAGTTTGAAGTGAATTTACACCAAGTAAATAATTGCTGGTATAATTCTTACCAGCATATCCTTCAGGGCAGTCAGTACATACAATGCTTCCATCCATCAGCTGGATACATCCACTGTCCTTAGGACATGGGCAGGGCTTGCAGTCGTCAGGAGTTCCAGCAATGGCATTACCGTAGAAACCCTTAGCACAGAGCTCGCAGTTACTGCCTGTCGTATTGTGTTTACAGATACAGAAACCTGAAAAAAAAATAGAAGAAAAATGAGATTTGAATAGCACTAATCACTCAGTAAAATGAAAATGAAAATGCCTTTACGCGCTTTAGACGCGTATTTAGGGCTTATTATTTATTGTTTTTTTCCTTGATTGATGATGTTAAATTGGTCACCCCATTTAAATTATTCATATTAAGTTTGTCAGCCAAACATTGAGATTTTTTTTTACAAATATACTCCACACTATGATTTTCTCCGGTGTCGTGGGTGCATTTACAAACATACACGTTTACATACCCTTGACACCTAGACCCGGAAAACCAATTTGTGGACCACATAAAGCGTTGCTCCGTTCGGGAGTCGAACCCGCGACACGTTGCGCGGCAGCCGGTTGCCCAGCCGCCGCATCAACCATGCTGTCAGTCGTATGCCGTCGTATTGTTCATTCATTAGGCTTAGCATTGTGGGTAAACTATTCATTCTTCAAGTCCAAGTTAACTACATACTTGGGAGCCAATGTAACAGGTCTTTATAAGCTCGCTTCTCTTTCATGTAAATTCTCAGGGCGTATCATCCTTTCTATCCATTGATTTTTGAAATTAAGCACTAGCTTTGTCACATCACCAAGAGTGGTACTTACTTATCAGCTTCTAATGCATAAGATTTGTTTCAATTCGTTCAAGGCAAATCATATATATACATATTGTTTAACTATGGTGTGGTTTTCTTTCTTATTATTGTCAAATGTTACTACAAAACTTACCGGTAGCAGTGTCACAAATGTGAGCATGTCCATTGCAGTCACAAGGTATGCAAGTCGAGTACGGTCCACCATTAGCAGGCTCATGTTTGAATCCAGGTGCGCACTCCTCACAATAGTCCCCAACATAGGCTTTAGGACAGGAACACTTTTCCACCCAGTTGGCGGGAGCTGAACCTTTCTCTCGGCCAATCTTAGCAGTTTCCAATTTGAAGTTCATCAGGTAACCCTCTCCAGGCTTGTTATAAGTTCCTCTGATCTTGATGGCAGTCAGATTTTGAAGAAGAGACATGAACTCAAAGTTTGAGAGGGTTGGAGACCAGCCGTAGCGGGGGTCTTCGTGGAGCCTGAAGGTGTATTCTTGAGCCTGCAAGCATTGAACCGTGAGACAACTTGAGGGAAGGTAGAAAAATCAACTTCGCTGAGCTTTGGTAACGAAACAAGTCTTTTAGAAATGCATCAATGCATGGTTCATAGATGAAAGAAAAATAAAATCTTAACTAATTTCACGTTTGAACAAACGATGTGAACTTAGAACTGATGTCTAAAGTGACAAACCAATTCTAAAATTCTAAAAAAAGATTGCTAGATAATACAAAAAAACCAATTGCAATAGAATTAAATTCTGATAAATACACATTCGCAGTCGCTTTAATCTCCATTCTTCTAATTACTATTACACATCAAGAAGTAAGAGTGCAATCGCAAACAAAAAGAACAACTGCTGGGCAAATAAAATATTCAACGTACCTGATTGGTAGGTTCTGGATTGTTCTGTGCGTAAATATTAACAGATACGGACGCTCGTGGACCTTCCAAGATAATGTCAGTAGCTGATGGATAGCCTCTCACTTCTCCAAGACGCAACGAGAACTTTAAGTCGTGATTGTATGAAGGTCTTTGATCACCCAGGAACTGACTTGAAGCAATGAAGTAAAGGGTTTCAGAAGATTGTGATGAAACGGCTGGAAAAAAATGTGTGGTTTAACTAAAATAGGAAATAGTAACATTGATCATGATTATTGTCAAAATAAATTAAACTCTGAAAAATGCGATCAGGCTATCAAATTTCTTATGTTCGGTCTGATCTGATGCTTGAATTAGTTAACTATCAAGGTAGTCATAAAGATTTTCAGTTATGACTGACTGACAACATTGTTAAACATTGAACGGCAATTCTGTATTGAAATAGAAATCAAGGTATTAAAGGAGATCTACTAAGATCGTCGGATTAAATAGAATGGAGAAGGAACTGGTCCCCATTGGTCATTAGCAAGGACCCCAAAATAACGAAAAAAGAACCCATTAACTCGCTGCGTTGCGAATGGTTACGATCTCCATCAAATATATTTTAATACTATTCATGTATGCATTTAAATACTATCTTTCAAATAATTAACTCACCAATATTCTGTGTATTGGCATTAAACTGAAGCTTCGCAGATCTTTCTTGCTCATCTTCAGCCATCCATTTCTCTGCGTCTCTGATGAAATGTGCGCTGGTCTCGTGAGCTTGGTACTTCGGGGCTGAGCTGCACTGCGAAGAGTGTCCGAAACAGAAGCAAGGAGTGCATCCGAAGTCGTTGCTGATGTCCAAGTTGAAGAAACCTGGTTTACACCTAAAAGATAAGGGTTTTAGTAGATATCATCGTTTTGACATAGGTGAAAAATATTGAACCTGATTGGGATTATCTTGAAAAGAAATAAAATTATTTTAAAGTTATTAAACTAAACTTAAACTAAACAAAGAACTATAGTCGATGACAAATACTGAAATCGGTGATACACTTGGTACCTGTTCTTATTTCAATTGAATTAGATTTGCCCATGACTTTAACTTTGAAATGTCTAAAGCAGAAACTGTTGACCTTGGACAGAATCCTAAAACAAATATACTCAAAACTTACTCTCTACAACGTCTTCCTTCTACGTTCTGCTTGCACAAACACACGCCAGTTTGAGGATCACACTGTGGCGTGTTGGCGTAAGAACCAGACTCGTTACATCCGCAGGGTTTGCAGCCTTGGTTGGTGAACTCGTAGTGGTTGGGAGCGCAGACGTCACATTTGTCTCCTGTCACTCCAGGCTTACATTGGCACTTGCCTTCCGCGTTACATTGGAGGCTGCGAGATCCTAAAGAGAAGATAAAGAGAGATTTGTAGTTCATTACATTATGGAATGTTCAATTAGAAGAAAAACTTCGTTTATGATCCTTCTCAGCATATTAAGTACGCTAAATATGGAAGTTTTTATAGAACAAATAGTTTTTAATCGACTTTCACTCTCTGCACTTCGTCGGTAAGTTTTATATACGTTTACTCGTTACTCAGCAGTAACTATAGTCACGAAAAATTACAATTACAATCTGTATAATTAAGCAATATTATTTATTTTATGTCCCTTCCACATATATGCTCTTTTGGAATAGTACTTACCAGTAGGATTACAGTTGCAGGGTAAGCAAATGTCTCCAGATCCTTGGAAGAAATTCTCCTTGCACCTCTCGCAGTTAGCTCCATCCCTGTTCTCCGCGCAGTCGATACAACGACCACCGTGTCCAGTGCGCTCATACAGGTCCTTGTCGAACTCACATTTGTTGGAGAACCCATTGCAGTTACAAGCTGTAATGAAACACTAATCACTATCGGCTATCCTTTAAATTTAAAGTCACCGAAGATTTTCAGAAAAAGCTGACAGAATTAAGGTTTGGACGGACAAAAGTTCACCATGTGAGCAGTGAATGTATTACACAAATCCCTTAAGATTAGTGCAATGTAACCTACTGTTTGACCCTTAAAGAAACAGACGATTTGAAAGGATACAAAAAAGGTTATAAACAATGCCAATTTCAAAACGGTTTTATTTGCAATAGTGATCGCAATCGCTAGCCTTTGTGGATTTCAGGGTTTCATAGTCTTGCATTTTCGATTTAGAAATCCTTTGTTTCACAATGACAGATTACAATATTTATATTATTGGTTAAGTTCTTGTTCTCCATTGGGACACATGGTCCTAAATTATTATGTAACTAGTACAATATAATTGATCCATCATCAGTCAACGTAATATCTTCTAAAATAAGCAAAAATAATACAGATTTTTATACATTCGCTAGGTGTTACTTTTACAGCAAAAGGAGACGTCAACGACTAAAATGTTGCTTTATTAAGTTTTGTTTTTCTTAATGGGGCTTTCTTTTACGTAGCTATTATACGTAGGATCGCAGAAACTGAAGAGCATCAACAGTGAGGAAACAAAATCGGATTAGTGCGCTTTTAAAGGAGACAACATTGCATTTTTAAAAAGCGATTGAATGTGGTATTTGTTAGAATTGGGTTACTATAAATGAAAAGAATAGACAAAGATAACTCAAAACAAGAACAGAATAACAAGGAGTTATTAAACCTTGGGACAAAATTATTTATTAGGAAACAAAACCACCTATCTACACCCCGCATTACAAGAACATTCGCATCGAGAAAATAATTCGCAGTAAACTCAGCAAGCAATGTATTTTGAACTAACCCTTGCACTCGTGCACGTTGGTTGGTGAAGCTCTGCCCCAAGGAGCATCGTTGTAGAAGTCCAAGCATCTTTCACATTCACGACCAGCTGTGTTGTGCTCACACCTGAAATGTTAAAGAAATATGGTCACAGTTTTTATACGCAATGGGTCGGCATTTGTCCATTATCTCGCCTGATAGTAAACGATAAAGCGGCCCACGATGGAGCACACCTGCCCATAAGTAAAAGAATTTCACTCTTCAGCGCTTCGCACAAGGAAACTAAAAGTGGAACGCTTCGTCCGAGTGGATGGAATATGCACTGTGAAGCGGTGGTGTTTTGCCGACCGTCTTGTGATACGATGATGGAAAGGATTAGGGGGAATCAAGTTGTGCAATTCCTCCATACAGTGACCAAAATGTAGGTACTTATACAAAATTTCATTATTTCTAAGTACGCCGTGGTAATTGGGGCTTAAGCGTAATATGAGCAACACCTACTTGTAACACCTACTTTTCACTGGCTATGTTATGATCCCCGTGTAATAGGGGGTAAGCCTATTCTTTAAGTTCTTGAAACTGAAACTCTAGCCAAATCCGAATAATATTTAAAACCAGAAATGTGTTTTATATGTGTGTGTTATTTTTCTTACAGAAACTCCTACACAGATCAGAACAGAATTAGCACACGTTAGTCTGGAATAATATACGGGCTTCCTTTTATCCGTTCGAGCTAGTTTAATAAAAAAAATTAAAAAATTCTTTGGTTTATATTAAAATGCTTTGATTTTTACCTGCAGGCTCTAGTTCTGGTACCATCAGGCAGTTCTTGGGTCTCGCACACAGAAGCGTGACCATTACACTTGCACCTTGCACCCACAGCCACGTCAGCGATGGCGTACCAATACGACTGCAATACTTGAACGTCTCCAAAGATCTCGTCTCCGAAGGTGTTCAGACGGTCCAGGGAAATTCGAATATCGGTGGCAGTTACCCATTCCTGTATAAATTATATAATAATGTTAAATAATTTAGAAGTTGCCTAGTGGTCACTGGATCAATGAAAAGAGACTAGGTATGCAAAAGATGTTTTTAAAAAGGTATTTCTCAGGTAGTTATATGTATTCAACTCATTTGTTAAATGACCAACAAATACCTTTCAAGGCCTTTACGAAGTAAGTTCTTATGACTATTATCTTACCTGCAGCTCAGGACTGTTGTCAAAAGTGAACGCTGAGGGTCGACCTTCAAGAGTAGAGAAGAGGACGTTTCCACCAGAAAGTGGTGAGATATCGGAGTACTCGCTGGTGCAGAGGGCACGGGTTTCTGCTCCTAACTCTGCAGCCCTCTGTTCTTGAACTCCGTAAGTCTCACGACAGGAGGCACTGAAGGAAGAATTGTGGAAAAAATATTAACCTTCAGAGTTAAAATGAACATGCATTGGATCATTCTTCATTACTCAATGCAATAATTACCTGAAGTATTGGAAGGGCTCCCAAACCCTTTCTTCAGAGGTCTTCTTATAGATAGCGAAACTCTGAGGTCTGGGCGAGTAGAACACAATCCTCACGTAGGTGATGTCGTAGGCCTTGCCTGGAATATAAGGTATCTTTATATTTTATCAGACTTGCGACTTGTAACCCTATCAAATGGTACAAAGAGTTACGGTTTTAATTTCCACAAGTAATTGTAGTTTTTTATAAGGTTCATGCTTGTAATTGCATTTAACACATGAGAGAATGCCTCAGTGTGGGACTAAGTTTTAATCTATGTCATCTTAAAATTCCTTTGAAGCAGTATAATCCCCATACTACGGAGATAACTTCGGGAACCATTAACTAAGGAAGATAACCAAAAATGAGAATGGTGCTGACTGAGCTAGTTAAAATAAAAATGATGAAATGTAGGCTTTAAACTGAATAACGTACCCAAGTGCAGCGTCAAGTTGACCTGGTTAGGATACTGGATCCCTTCCTTCATGGTCTCTGACTGCCACCACGTCTGGTTGTCCTGCTCATAATGGAGATCTGTCAGGTAGTAGCTGGAGAACTGTCCTGGTTGGCAGCTGTCACACGACCTGAAGTAAGAAGAGAACTTAATTTAAATTAAGTTTACCGGGTCTTGGTTCGGTATCATTTTTATTACTTCTTCTTCACTTCACTATTTTCAAACTTCACCTAACTTCTACGGATATGTTAAACATAAATCACATTAATTATTAATAAACACATATCTTATACATATTATACGCTCTATGCAAAGTTGGTGTTCACAGACTGTGCGTTTCCCTGTATGTATTATAATAAACATAATATTACGGAATTTGGTACATCCATAACTAGCTGTATATTATAGTTTGCACTGAGTAAGTACTATTATTTCATTATTAGAATTACCGATATTTCCTTCGTTCTGTTTGAACAGATACGACAAAATAATATGAATACTGCAATTTGATGCAATGTTTTGTAAATTACGGATTGTATTTTTCTACATCATATTATGCATTAAATTATCTACGTACTTATATCTAGATTTTTGCAAGCTGCAGGTACATACCTGGTGGATGTGCCATAGGAAGTCTGTATACAATAAACTTTCATGCCATTGTCACCACAGGTGTTCGTCGCTTCCATTTGAACCATGAAGGCCGCATTCTCGAACTCCGGGATACATCTCTGTTGGTAAGAAAGGGAATTAATAGGTAGACGTCATATCAACGGCCTGTGATAATTGATTACTGAACTACGGCACTTCTCTGCATAATAGGGTTTGCTTGACAGACAGGTTGGATGCCGCAGTTTCGATTTTTTTAGACTTCTAAAGATTTTCACCAAATGTATCGTCCTTTAGTCAGCTATCACCTGACTGTAGCCGCCAGGAAAACATATGACGTTGCATAGAAGCCCGCGCACTAGGCAACCACGAATCCCCGGCTGCAGCGACTGGCTGCGCGCAGCTAGAACGTGTGTAGACGAATATATATGGCTGCGGTCCATCTCCGCGCACTAGTTTTATAACAGTTAGACGAATTTTGCGCTCAGAACTTTGATAAGGTGATTTCCGATGCGGAGAAATTTATTGGAGTAAGTGTTGGTTGGCTGCTATAACTGCGCAGCCAGGCAGCCTAATGCGCAGGGGAACTTAAGGGTGGTCGCCGTCAGCTGACACCACGTCATCATATGGTCCCTCAGTCAGGAGTAGTAACTTAGACAAATGACTGTGATACAAGTTACAAAATTAGAAAACATAGGTTTACTATGTCCATCGATTGAATTGCGCACTAAGAATATGAAATCCACACAAATATTATCGACTCCTTATGAATCCAGGAACAAAATCTAAATGTAGACTAGTGAGTTCCATTCTTGTAAAAACTTCGAAAATAGAGGTTTAGGAACCATTTTGCATTTGTATTTTACCTAATAGAAATAAAAACTACGCGTCGGCAGGATGCGGATTAAAAAAAAACAAAAACAACAATATCTAAGCAGAAGACTTGTTACAGATATTTGACAATCTGAAGGAGCTCAATATACCGAACGTATACTCTTCTGTGCCTGTCCTTTCGAGGAATAAAAGTCAGGACTCATTCTTAGAACCTCTTAATCATATTACAATGACAGTAGTGTTTAGTTATATGTAACTGGAGTCGATATTATCTGCTACTGTTGTTTAAATAAATACATACGCTTATACTTCGGAATGTTATTCAATAAACAGATACCTACCTATAAACTGCATTCGTTATCTAAATAATATAACAAATTGTTATACTTTATTTCATTACAATCTACGATTGTTGTTGTGGATCAGACGAGATCTCAAAAAATACCTGTTATTGAAACCACGAATGTAGATTACTTTCTAGCAATCTGTGTGGCTGATAATAATTGCTTATTGCATTGACATGACGCTCATTTTCGATCTGTTATGTCTGTCTGTCTGTATGTCTGTGTCTGGCCCTAACCAAGCTGGGGAATTGACAGGAAGACCTATCATTTAAACTTTTTGTACATCTTCTACAGAAGCGAATCAAAGGTCAAATAATGTCATAATGAGTAAGTATTATCTATGTCTATTAGACCAAGGAAGCAGTGACTTCTGGGTGAAGATAATTCAGGAACTGAAACCTTGAATGCACGCTTAATACCCTAAATGGACGACCGGAATCATCATCAGCCGGTAGTCCATTTAGGGTCCTTGTGTGTCATGCACAATATGTCTGGTGGTCTGCTAATTATTGTCCGGGTCTGGGAGTAATGTGTAAATGCAACGTGTTGTTTGTAAACGCACCAACAGACCGAGAATAATCTCTATGGGGCAGGCCACAGACGTCTAAAAAACATGTCTTATTTAAAAGTCGTATCTGTAGTTCGAACCTTATAAAAAACATTTGTAAATTGTGTCATTCTGATAAACGTAGTAATAATTTCACGAACTACAATCAAATGTAATAGTAAGCGCAAATCTATTACATATTGCAAGATGTGTATGGGTGAATGTCCTATGCGTTGTTCCTATATATAGACGCACTATTTCGGCTGCCACCATGTGTCGTGGTACACTCACTATTCACTATACAACCATCTCTCTTCATTTATCTATTAGCTTACAAATGCAAAATACCGAATTACATTTAAATTCTGCGACTGAAACAAAATCTCAAATGTTTTTGCGGATATTTGACCATTTTTGAGATCGTTGTGTTCGAGGATGGTAAATATTTAAGTTTCTGTCTCTTCTCTAATAACTCAGTTAATTATTGGGAATAAATGCTTTAACGTTGATAAACACAATAAACTTATATAAAATATGGTGTTGTTTAACACGTGGTATTTTCAAAGAGGCGTCACAAGTCGTTCGGCAAATCGATGTCATAATATGTTGTGGTTCTGTTCTAAAAAAACAATTTCAATTATTACACGACATTGTAACATCATCACTTTATTTATAAAATTACAGAAATCTGTCACCTAACCTTGCATGTCATAAATTAGGTATAATTCCTGACTTTTTAGCTTTGTGTAGTCTATTTTGATTTGTATGAATATTTAAGTTGATTTAAGTGCAAGTCATATTATTATTTCCCCATTCTGGCTTAAATGGCAGAGTCAAAAGCAGCAGCCAATACCCATGTTGTTTCGATGACTTTCTATTGTTGTCTATTCAATATCGTGAGCTAACGAGCCGTGCAATCGTTGCATTTGTTTCCATTTAAAACTTTGTCCATGGGGCGCTTTTGTCCATAGTTCAGTTCATGTCAATTCAAAATAGTTCTGATTCTAGTTACTTCAATTCAAAATAGTTTCCTCTCGTTCATTTATATTTTTGGCCCAGTCTTTGTGTTTGGTATGTATCTCATCTTCATGTTGGAAGAAATCTTTGTTCAGCTTATTTGTTTTAGTAAACGCTCAGCCCTTGTTACTTCAGAATACCTTTTAGCGAAAAAGTGGCTGACCAACTGAAGTGCACTGCCTTCATAAAGACTGACAAGAATATTATGATCTTGTGTTAATGAAAAACATTTGACCACATAATTGTGTATGATCGTCAAATTTTTAAATCGTTCTACCATAAGCTTATTTTCTTGTTGAAGTCAAAATGCTAATAGGTTTGTCGGTTGCATGTGTCAACTCTTATGGCAACGGTTCACCTAATTATTCATTGTAAAAACGTATTTTTGTTTGTCATAATTATACTTATGATGAAAATCATTCGCCACAATTTACTTTATAATCAGAAAGATTCTGAACATTATTGCTGTGCATACAGTAAGTAATGAGAAATATTCAAAATTGCTTAGATATTAGACTTCTATTGACATTTATTCATATTATAATGTCCTAAGTACGGTACCGTGGCAAATGGAGAATTTCTCCTTATGTCGCCAGTTTCAAGCGATTGACACCAAAATAAGTCATGATTTCAATGTATCGATTGTACATTAACGTGAATGCAAGCATGTAGTACTTCAAAGCTCGAGGATGATCTTTAAATAATAGCGGTATTCGAACAAACAACTCCAGCTTTCTATGGTCGTATTGTTTGCGGACAAAAACAAAGGACATCTGCATTCTATAGTTGGTTTCATGGTTCTGAATATGTTAAGCGCAGTTATTGTGCTTCTAGCTCAAATAACTAAGGAATGGAAATTAGTTCGTGTGTAGCTAGAGAGTTGCCTGCTGTTCTATCAACTGATTCTTATGTTCTAGTAGGAGGCGGTACATATTGCCATCTGCCGTAAGGACTCAACAATAATGTTTCGTTACCAGTGCAATGAGTACAATCTGGTACCTTGTTGCATACGTCTCAAATCTGATTCAACTTTGTCTACACTTTCAAATAACATGAAGTGTGTGTCATTTGATACTAAATATAATGTCTCAAGACGTTCCCAAAGGATTATTTTAAAAGATAAAGCATTCTGCAAGTTAGACAAATAATTCAGCTTGTGTTGATGTAGGTTGTCTTCTATTGTGCAAGACTGTAATGATGATCATCATTCATTTATTTTATGAACTATGCTGTTACAATCGCTATTCCGGAGTACCAGAGTACCTCTTCCAGCTCTGCCCATGTTCAATACATCACTCGCACTGTTTTTATTGTAGAACAGTAGTTTCGGATTTGGATTCTCTCAGTCATCAGCAACGGAAATGATCTGTAGTAAGAAAGTACCCCTTAAAAATAAGATATGCTGCATTAAGTAGGTTTGTCCATAAAAGGTTTAAAGTATTTTATGATTGACCTGTTTTCTGGTACTTAGTTTTGTAAAATACTTATATTCTCTTTTTTGTACTATTAAAATGACGATATAACTACCATTCCAGCATTAATTACGTTTCGTTTTGTGTAATGTGCAGATTACAGTCGAACATTACCTTGACTATTAAATTCGTTATAATCAATCCAGCTGAAATTGAGAAAAGAATAGAAAGGCAAGAATTCAAGCTTGAATAAAGTTTTCGTCAAATATGACAATAAATTACTTATTGTAACAATGAAGTTATCTTCAAGAGTAGGGACTCGTTCAATTCGTGACTAAGTAGCACCTACAACGTACACCCTACTAAGGGTGGCGTTAATTTTATTTATAATGACACAATTTACATGTAGACGTTCATATATATGACGGATGCGATAAGCTTGTTCTGTTTGCACAAATAATGGTACATTAGGCACAGAGTTAACGAACTCATTACTATACTGTACCACCCGACTTCGTTTGATAACCTTCGATCTCCAAAAATGTACTAGCTAGCAAATGTAGGGGTTATTTTAATGACTTATCTATGCTTATAACATATTCATTCATAATATTGTCTTGCTTTATCGACGTTTTTGTTGAAGGTATGGACACTTCGGCATTGTCGTTAATATTGTCTGATAGTCCTTCTAGGTTGCTCTCTTCTGCGAATTTAATATATGTTCTCTTTTACCCTTTTACGATGTTCTTATATGTATGTCAATAAATGTGTTATTAGCTTTTAGAGTATCGTAATGGTGTGACTAAGGGCGTATCAGTGGTTGCTCGCAGCACCCAAGATTATGTTGATTACCGACCGCTGTGTAGTAAGAGTGGTATCATCCTTTTTTTCGGGAATCATCCAAATGACTTCTCTCGCCTGAGTGAGAGGAAGTGTCAGACTCTTACTGACTAAAAACCACCCCTCTC